TGTTTTAGATAATAAATGCTAATTGATATTAAATTTTTCTGGCATTTATACTGATATTAAATTTTTCTGGCGAATACCGATACACATTAGAGATATTATCCTGCTTCGTGTAACATAAAATGGTTTTTCAAACGTCTTTGTTAAAAATAGGATATATTAATTTCTTGTACTAAAATAACTTTATTCGAAAGGATATTAATGGAAAAGAATTACGTAAAAAATCATACTCGAAACAAACAATTGCTTCCAAGCAGTTTTAAACAAACCGGTTTCATAAACAGAGTTTCTAAGCATTAAAATGATAATATTTCATATTGCCATTAATGATGTTTTTAGAAGTGTCGTGAATGAGTTTAATTAGTCACATATCGAAAAGCCATCATAGTAATAATGAGCGATATCATTAAGCAGATTTGAGCAGGATAACATCCCTAATACGCATGTATTGTACGTTTGTACCGGAGATTTTATTTGGATCACATGTAGCACAAGATACGCGGGTTAAAATATTACCCGTGTGATTGCAAAGTCAATTTCGGATAATTTATCGGTATTCAATCTATTAGTAGTTAATATATATATTCATAAAGATTAATACGTAGAAAAACAAATACTGCACTGTACAGGAATATGGTTCTTGATATGTTAACATATTGTATTTAAATATTTAACATACCGATACAGTATATATTTAAATTTAGTATATATTTAAAATAAACATAATAAATGAAATTTATTTAGGAAACTGGTTTTTTTATTTTTTTCGGCAAAAAGGAATATTATTCGGAATTGTATTCGTTACAACATTATCACGTGTAATGAATTGGAATAAAATTTCCGACTTTCACGGTAAAGTAACGTGGGAATTTGATGTGCTTCGTAACTTATTTGTATGTTGAACGTGAAGAATTATGTAATATACATAGATTTTATGTTCTACAAACATAACATGATAATGAAAAATGTACTAATTTGTCATTAATTTGACGGAAAATGACAATATAAGAAATTCCGAAACTATATTCGTATTCTTATCTCCCGATAATAACGATAAGATTTTCGGGCAATTCATCTGCTAATCGTACTATAATGGATATGATTAACGTCACATATCGTTACATGTAACAGGTTACATTCGCATCGTTAAAACTAAGAAATTTATCCATGTAACATATTTACCAGATTTAAATGCGTTTACAAGTTCTATATTTGTTCTATATTTGTTGATAAGTTCTTATAAACAAAGTTCGTATCTTCTGTACGTTCCGACACGTTCCGATCATCTGTGTAAAGATAATGCAGGTAAGATTGATACCAGATAAAGAAATTATTTGTCAATGTTGAAAATTTCAAGATTGTTTGGAATCGAAATCTTAAGCAACAAATTAAATTCATTTATCACGCATAATAATGTCTACAAATTATTTAATTTTTCATACGAGCTGTCCAACATACTATGTCAGTATTTTGTCGGTATTCTCCTATCGCTATTTAAGATAAAATTATAATTGCGATAGATAGATAGATAAAGAAAGCTGTGACGCATAAGCATAACTTTATAAATTAATAGTAAGAGTATATTAATATGTCGCCTCTGTTTATACAATGCATCTAAGTAGCACACACATTTTCAGATGTCAAAAATCAAACGACATTTCGTTTAGATAGACATATTAAAATTTTGAGCTATGTCTTGTGATGTGTTTTTTTTCAATAGCGACGTAATACTGTGTATCGGGAAATCCGTGTATACGAATTAAGATATTCATTCTATGATTATTACTATTATTAACCTTGTCCCTGTGAACTTTTAACTTTCTGCACATCATTAATCGTTTAATTTTCGGATCCCTATTTTCTATATTAATTTATATAAATTGATTTTTACTTTATTCAAAAAAAAAAATTTAATCTGTGTAAAAAAAATAATCTGTTCTTTTCTGATGTTTACACAATGTTTGCATGTTTTCTTTCACAACTTTGTTATCTCTTTCAAAATTAGATGTCAGTATAAATAGTATCCATTTACTAAAAAAAAAAGTCTCATCAGATTTCTTTGGTTCTGAAATCTGAGGTTGATAACGAATTTAATACCGAATTTTTTAAATCTCTGTTCTCGATACTTTTATGATACTTTTATTGTATCTTTATGAAAAATTATTTTATATACGATATAAGATTAATATTAGCTTTTCTTAATAATCATTTAATTACTTTTTATTTATTAATTCGAAATCATCCAAGTATCTTGAAAAATGGCTATACTTGAAGAAGGTGTTGGCTGGGGAATTAGTAAATATCTTTTTTGTTAATGTTAATTATAAATTACGATGGTTCATTATAAATTTCACGTGAACAATATTATCAAACCTGTGATTCATTTTAAGTGAGCTATAATTAAAAGAAAAAATTAATTCTTTTTCTATATAATTATGTTTATTTCTTAGTCCTCGGTTTTGGTGGTTTCTTCGCTATCGTAATGTCATTATTGACATTAGCACAAAGTCGTTATCTAAAAGAATATCAAACAAGTGAAATGTTTATGACTGCTCATCGTAGTGTGAGAACTGGGTTGGTTGCTTCTGCTATTGTATCATCATGGACCTGGGCCGCTACTTTACTGCAATCTTCCACAGTCGCGTACAAATATGGTGTCTCTGGGTATTACTATCTCTACTTTTTTTATTCACACATTTTATTTGTTTTCTTTACTGATTTTTTTAATTATTTTCAGACCCTTTTGGTATGCTTCCGGTGCTACCATTCAAGTAATTTTTTTTGTCGTTTATATTATTGATGCCATTAACTCGGATCATGTGATTCTAACCTTCCTTTCATTTCTCTTTCATTACTCTTTCATTACTCTTTCATTACTCTTTCATTACTCTTTCATTACTCTTTCATTACTCGTTCATTACTCTTTCATTACTCTTTCATTACTCGTTCATTACTCTTTCATTACTTCATTACTCTTTCATTACTCTTTCATTATTAAGGTCTTACTTTTTGCCATCTTGGCCATTGAACTTAAACGAAAAGCTCCAAATGCTCACACTTTCCTTGAAATTATTAAAGTTCGTTATGGAAAACCCGCTCATATTGTATTCTTGTTTTTTGGTCTGGCTACGAACAGTAAGTTGTCATTATATTTTTGATCTAATATTCATTTGTTTAAATATATGTACATATATATATATATGTTGTTTTATATAAATATATAAATTGGTTTATGGTAATTAGTGATCGTAACTGCTATGTTGCTACTTGGTGGTTCTGCTGTGGTTCATGCTCTTACTGGTGTCAATATTATCGCCTCTTGTTTCTTGCTTCCACTTGGTGTGCTTATTTATACCTTATTTGGTGGTATCAAAGCAACCTTCTTAACGGATTATGTTCACACCACCGTAATTTTTATCATCCTCCTTTCCTTTTTATTCACTGTCTATTGTACCTCTCCTGAAATTGGTTCACCTGGCAGAATGTACGACCTTCTTGAGGCGGCTTCTCGAGAAAGACCTGTTAAAGATAATGAAGGTGGCTCTTATTTAACAATGTCTTCTTTACAAGGTTTAATTTTCGGTATTATCAACATTGTTGGAAATTTCGGAACTGTATTTGTTGATAATGCCTATTGGCAAAGAGCCATTGCTTCAAAACCAAGTTCAACCGTTCATGCTTATTTGATTGGTGGTTTGGCTTGGTTTGCAATTCCATTTACCTTGGCCACCACAATGGGTCTTTCTGGTGTCGCCGTTTTTAATAACAGTACTTCAACCTTGTCTGAAAGTGTCGTCTCTTCTGGATTGGTCCTTCCTTTGGCTGCTAGTCATCTCCTGGGTACAGCTGGTGGTTTTGCTGCTTTAGTACTTGTATTCATGGCTGTCACGTGAGTGTCTCGTAACTTTTTTTTCTTGAAATATATGTTAATATTATGTGGTTAATAATATTATTATGTTTATAGTTCTGCCTCTTCGGCTGAACTTATTGCTGTATCATCTATTTATACTTATGATATATATCGTACCTACATTCACTCTGATGTAAGATGTACCCTTATTTTTCGTTTCTTTTGTTTTATCCATAATATAATACTTACCATTTTTCTAATGCTTTATTAACTAGGCACCAGGAAGTAAAGTAATTAATCATTCTCACTATTCCGTTATTGGATTTGGTATAATCATGGGTGCACTTGCTGTTATTCTGAATTATATTGGTATAGACTTGGGTTATATGTACTTGCTCATGGGCATAATATCTTCACCTGCTGTATTTCCCGTGGCATTTACAATAACTTGGAAAAAACAATCCGCTATGGCTGCTATTGTCTCTTCAATTGTTGGTGTCATTTGTGGAATTATTGCTTGGTTAGTTACCGCTAAAAAACTTTTTGACGAAATTACTATTCAATCTACTGGTGACAATTATCCTATGTTGGCTGGAAATTTGTATGTATTATATATCAGATATATATATATATGTGTGTATATATTATTTGTGTGAAACTTTTAATAACAGATAACTTTTTTGTGTTAAATCTAGAGTATCCATCTTAGTTCCGTTGATTATTACCGTAATTTGGTCATCAATTTTCCCTGATAATTTCGACTTTGATATTACCCGTACAGAATTAAAAGTTTTAACTGATGATGAAGTTAATGATACATATAAAGATGTTGATCCAGCTGAAACAGATCCTGTTAGATTAAAAAAAGCATTTCAATTTGCTCTTTGGTGTAGTATTATTTTAACAATCATATTAGTTATTCTTTGGCCATTACCCATGTACTTTTCGAGATATGTTTTCTCCAGACCCTTTTTCACTTTTTGGGTGGCTATAAGTATGATTTGGGCCATTTGTGGTGCTATTGCTGTCGCCATCTTTCCGGTAAGTATTTTTAAAAAAATATTGTACTGTTATGTAAAAAAAACATTGGGATTAATTTTTATTTCTTTTATAATAGGTGGTCGAAGCAAGACAGAGTATTTTTAGAGTAATTAAAGGTGTCTTTTTGGATATTACTAGAAGAGGTACTGGATCAGTTGATGAAATAGTTGAAGTCAAGCATGACACAGTTAATAATGAGAAAGTTACCAAAGTCTAATTTTATTTTAAAGATATTTTGTCGGTGTTTGGGTTTTAATAAAAAAAAGCTGTATTTATTTATTATTTATTGATTATTTTTCGAAAAATCTCTAATAATAAAAAATGTGTATTTTTTCTTAGTTAAGTTATTTAGATCACTTTTTTTGATAAAATCTGTTCAATTTTTAATTAAGCTATAAATTAAGAATATACATATACTATTAATTTTACAATTACTCATAAATAATTATTACTGTATTATACATATTTTTGTCAAAATAAAGTATGTAGCTTGCCTAAAAAAATAGTTAATTCTGGATTACATCGGTGGGTATTATTTGAGTTATGGTCTGAATTAGACTTAATTCAGGCCGTAGAATAATGTCCATGCCCGCTATTTCAAGACTTTCAGCTGCGGGTTATTAGTGGTAAGTTACAATGATAAGATATACATATGTCTGCTTGCTTCAGATAATTTCGATATCTTAGACAACACAAATATATTCAAATTATTTATATGAAGCAGTCTCCACTGTTATGAGTGTTCGGGCAATTCAGAAATCGACATTTAATCAATTTCGACAAGTATTTAAGTTAAAATTGTACGTTAATTATAATTCTGCCAAATTTTTTATGTGTACATACGTATATAATTTGCCAAAAGCATAAGCAAGAATTGTAGCGAATCACTGTATATCGATATGTTACACTATGAGTAGATACTTCAATAGTGGAAATTAATTAAACAAAAAAAAAATTCAAAAGCAGACGCGACTAGGCATTAATGACCATTTCTATGTCGATATGTAAACTTTGATAATTCAATACATCAATACGCAACTACAAGGTAAAATTTTTGGTAAAAAACTCCATCAACCATCACCCATCAACCATCAATTTTAATTATAATTTGTTTATCTGATTTTATGTTACCTTTCACCTTGATTTCCACACTATCACTTAATTTGTCATAACCAAAATGGATAGGTTCATGAGGGGATAAAGTACTGTAAACGGTGATAGGGGAAATATCTTGAATACGACCGTCTAAATATGGACTAACAACTTTTTGATCTTGAATATAATTTGTTAATGCTACGTCTAGGTTGTCAAAAGGAACCAAATCTTGAATAGGATATGGAATTAACCTATATATTATTATACAATGATAAAAGTAAGGAAAAAATATATTGCATACCAAAGACTAATAACAATAATAATAATAATAATGATAATAATATGAAAATTATAGACATTACCCGTCACCGGTATTGGCAATAAAATCGACAGTAACAATTTTATAAATTTTTTTAAGATCTAACGGCTCAAATATTTCGGTATCACTATTCTGTATGTTCACTTCCAATACTCGATTAAATACAGGTTTACTACTATCATACTTAAACCTAATACCAGATAATTGTATAAAACTAGTGACTCTTTTTCCAGAAATTATATTTTTCCACCTTCCTGTCGCACTTTCTAACATATCTGTAATATTTTGACCACTCATGTCTAAAATTACCATAGCATTACTAAATGGTAAAATAGTTATAATATTCTCACGAGTAATGTTTCCTTCCATCAATCCAGCTCGAATTCCACCAGAATTTAAGAATGCAGCATTTACTTTACTGGTTTTTCGTTGAGACCATAGGAAAGAATCTAATACTAGGCTACCCATTGTACATTCACTTCTCTGACATGATAATTGATCAAACGGTGCACTAGCTTTACCAATTACTGTTTTTGTATACTGATCAAATGGTTCTCTCCATTGTTTTACCAGGTCGGCTATTTTGGGATCTTGAGGAATTGACTGATCTACGAGAATTGGTGCACCTGAATAGTTGACTACTTTTCCATCTTTATCGAATGATACGTCCAAATGTCCTATATATTTGCCAGACCAAAATGCCTTTACAATTATCCCAATAATGTTAATTGAATTTATTACATTGAAACAATTTTTTTTTTTAAAAAAAAGTCTATACCTGAACAACCAAAGTATCTTCGCCTATGGCATTCTTGACAATAGTAGGGTACGGACCCGCTGCTAAATGATAATCTTCGGAAATTGTGTCATTAGATAGAAGAGTATGACTATGACCTCCAATATGCACCGCAACACCATAAGTCCTTGCGGCTAATTCTTTATCAGGACCATATCCATTATGAGAAACGGTTAGAATACGCTTGATTCCCATGGTACGAAGTTCATTCACATATTGTTGAACTATTGGTATTGGATCATAAAATTCTACTGTTGGACCCGCATTTGAAATACCACCAGTTGTCTTGAATAGAGAAAGTAAATAATATAAATAAAATAAATAAAAATTATATCGTAATACTTTTTTTTAAGATTCTAAAAAAAGTATTTTTAAATAACTCATATAACATACTTCAGTTATATAACCAATGACTCCTAGATTATATTCTTTAAAGATGTGATATGGTTTAATGTTAGCACCAAGCAAAGGGTTTAATGTCGTATTGATGTTCGCACATACAATTGGCATATTCATTCGTGAGTGATGAACGGCAAGTGTTTTTGGGCCTTTGTCAAATTCATGATTTCCTATTGCCTATATTGATAATAAACGTAAATTAATATAGATAAATCAAAATGGACATTCATTAAAACTTACCGTGATATTGTATTCAAGTAAATTCTATAGCAATAAAAAAAAATGAATAGATTGAGAATGAAAATAGAGCCCACAAAAAAAAAAACTAAATAAATAAATCAAATAAATAATTCGTACATACCATAACTTCTGAATTAATCGTTCCCTGAACACAAACATAACCTAAAATTAGTTTTCTTTTACATAATTACGGTAAAGTATTTTAATTTGAGCTTACGTTATAATAAGTAAAAAATAAAGTTCCTACAAAAAATTAATGATAATAAATTGTTTATGGACTACATAGTTGATAATAATAAACGATAATTACGATAATTGAAACGTAAATTTACAAATAGATACCTTGAAACTGATCACCACCATCTAAAAGCAAAGAATTCTTATTCTCTCTTCTCAACTTATCAATCACAGTTTTATGTCGAGCAATTCCACCATAACATTGTTTTTTTTCAAACTGTTCTGGAGAACAATCCGTGGCTGCTTCATTAATTTGATCATATCGAGAATGAACATCATTTGTATGAATGATGGTTAATTTCCAAATAGATGGTGGGTTTATGGTTTTAAATATGGAATATACTGTGGTATAAATGAATGACACAAGAAATATGTCTAAAATTAAGACAATTAAGAGCGTTTTGACCGTTTTATTCATGTTCCGGTTTTATAATATTAGTGTTTATAAATTTTTGTGATCGAACTAAGGATGTTTATATTAATTTTTTCGTAACACGAAAAAATAAAGTTGCATGAATTACAGCAAAAAAAAGAAAACCCATAATAATGTATGAAACAGATACTTGTAATACTTAACTAACCAAAATTTCTTGCAAAATTTTAATATAATAATAATGGTAGTCGCCGACAAATTTTGGCCCGATTTAGTTAGAGTTGGTCTGCTTTATAGTTAGAGTTGGCTAGAGATTATCGGTGAAGTGAATTCTACCAGAACCAATAATATCGATTATTTTTAAAGGTTAGGACAGGGAATAGTTTATATCAAAAATTTCATAAGGAATTTTTTTATTAGACAAAAAAAGGTAGTTTCATAAATTTTGAGATCACTAAATACAACCTCCCTAAATACTTATTGCATTTCTTTAAATGCAGCATTGAACTCTGGCCCAAATAAAATATGATTCTCTAAATGCACGTTGTCAAAAAAGTTTGGTCCCTACGAGATGAGGTTTGACTGTGTAAACATGTGAGGATTGGATTGCTATTGCCACTCCCTATTTTTGTTATTGCACCCCTGCATAATCTAAGTTGACCGAGGACGTGAAAAATTATTTTGAAGTTAGTCAAATTTATTTGTCGAGACTAGGTTGTCTGCACCCTACAACCTGATACTGTTACGTAGGGTTGTAAAATTACCGTAATCTTGGTAAAGTAGTTTATGTGATTGGTTAGATTGTCATCGATTTTGATAAGTAAACTTTTTATGCAAAGTCTCAATAATGCTAGCTAAGTTTTTCATAATGTTATTACTTTATATCATGTGTGTGTTACTGAAACTTAAGCAAAATTACATGAAAATGTAAAATTGTAAAATGTAATTTTCAACCCTACTGTTAGGTTAGATTAGTGGAGCAACCAAAATTCAGCAGATCGACCAACATTCGAGCCGAAATAGGCCGGAGTTGATAAATTTCTCCCAAAATCACCCAAAATTTACTAATAAAATGGTAGCCCACGTACTAAGTAAAGCTGCCAAGATGATAATTTTGCTATAGTATAATTTGCTGGTATTATTACTTAACGTCGGCCTAGCACCGGGCCCTAAATTTTGGTCGATTTATTGAATTTGGTTGCCACTGATCTATCGCGCGTTTATAAACTACCCCAAATTTTTGAAAAAAAATTGACTATTAATATATCATACTAATTTTTGACTATACTAATTAATATTTCAGGTTATGTGTGTCATTATATATAAATTTTTATGTCTAACGAAATGCGTCAAGATGGGTGGGAAGATGAGTTAGACGCGTTATTACTAATATAAACAAAGAGTTCAAAAAATTCTTTCAGGTTCGGCATTGACTAATTTGGTAACTAAATTTTCCAAATACTTGGATTTGGTGACCGAATTTGGCTTAATTCCTCGAACATGCCGTAATATTTTGACTTAAAAAACAAGTCAAAAATTTTACTTTGATCTGATTTCATTTTAGTCTATCAAATTTTATAATCTTCTATTATATTAAAACACTAACGTCCATTCACTATTAGCTAATCAGTCATCTCCAACAATCTTATCCTTATTACAAAATATTTGTGGCAAGATCAATTTATCTCCAGCAGCGATAGCAACTCTATTCATACAGTAAGTTAATCATTTTTTAAAAATATTTAAGCTATTCACTTCTCTTATCGATTAGTTTTGCTTGAACTGTTAGGTTATGACATCTGCCAACGTTTTGAAAAAACATATTTGTGTATTATCAAAACATATTGCAGAAAATTGGCGTATTATCAAAACCATATTGCTGAAAACTTGCAGAAATTGAACATTGCAGAAATTGAACATTTTTAGGAGGTGAGCATGACATGATGCCACTGAACAATGGTCAACGGTTTTTGAATCAAATGTTTCTGTTTATAAGGTCTACTAACCCACAAAGAAAGTTAGGGGTTAGTTATGTATCTTCCTTATGGCAGTCAAAAACCATTAAGAACTTTTTGCCTTACTCAAAGTGTTACTAATGACAGACATACCGAAATATTACTCTTGATATATATATATTTAGTAGACATGCTGGATGAATTTTTAGATATGTAACTAGGGACAAAAGAAAGCGGAAATGTTGATAGATCAGTATGTTGATAACTTATTCAAGAACAATTTTTGTTTAGCGATTCATACATACTTGAACTTAATGCTAATGATGTAAATTTTTTTTACTAATTTAATAAATTATGTCTTTTTCTTTGTAGTTTCTATTTTATAGAAATAATAATTTGCAAGTTAAAATATTTTCCAACATATTACAAGAAACTATATGCGAGACGTATTCAGTAAAATTATTACCTAGTGCGAGCTTATATCAATATGAGGGTACTAAGAACCCGCCTTATATAATATAGAATTTATATTACGTATTATACAACCATACATGTCTGACACTCACTGGATTATATTATTAAATCTCAAACAATTGGTGAGTCTCTACCAACTTAATATATGCTAATCTCTGATCATTAAAGATCACAATATACAGATTCGTATGTGCATAACGAAAATATTGTTTCCACTAAACGAATGAAAATATTATTATCGCAAATTGATTATAGTAATTGTAATGTTTATATATAATTATAGGTACAACATGGTTTTGATTGCTCCGAAGGTTTATATTATGTTTGATTGCTCCGAAGGTTTATATTATGTTTGAGGTTGGACAAGCAAAGCTCCCGTCTTTTCGAACTTGCGGACAGTTTTATTGATAGTATTGATAATATGTTATTTATTTTTTATTTTGATCAAATTTTAAACTAATAAATAGTATTTATTAAAATTAAGGAGAAGTATAGACCCGAAATAAATATTTACAATCATATCAACCAAGAAAAAGAGGATATTGTAAGTTGCTAGTTAGATTTATAAAACAATAAATTAGATATTTACTCATCCACCGTAGCACATACATAACAGTACAGAGATGAATAGTAATATAATTTATTTTATATTGCTAAATGCTAAATAAAAGTTATCGTCAAAGAAATATCGGAATGATCGAAGTTCAAATTCAATTTATTTATGAATAATAGATAATGATAAACTATGTACAGTACGTACATTTTTCTAAAGTTGATAGGTACACTAAGTCAGATATATAATTTTAGAGATCACAATAATTAATTTGAAGGTGATAAGTTCACACACAAAAAAACGTACAGAATTAAGAAATATTATACATTATGTTTTAATAAATTCCGATTCTAAGGACTCATTCCAGCCTTTAAAACTATTCCACCAGATTTCAATTCCGTCAACAAATCCTAATTTCTTTTGATGCCATCCAAGTAATGTCTGTGATTTACGATTTGTAAAAAGGTCTATATGAGTCATTGCTATCTCAAAATCTGTTGTAGGTTCACGGAATTTTATTTCTCCTATTATTGTAATATTTCATTGTTATTTTCTTAAATACATGGCAATTACATGCTAAAGGATAACTAACCTTTAAATCCTGTAACTCGTGCAATCGCAGTCAGAATATCGCCCATTGATTCAGTTGAATTGTTTACAACATTAAAAATTTGTCCTTTAACAATTTCTGCGCGTTCAGCTGCTTGCACATATGAGTCAGCTATATCAAATACAAGATTAAGCTATGCTTTTTGCAAACCTTAGTAAGTCATCATTTTTAGTATTTTCGAACCCACCTAAATCGTCAACATGAACAAAAGCCCATCTGATATCTCTATTTCCAATCCCTTCCAACTTTCCTTCAACTGCAGCTTTAAACCAAATACCAGTTAAGGAACCACTTTTACCATATGCAGCACCAGGGCGAATTATTATGCCGTTAATATGAGGTGAACTTAAGATTTGTCTTTCGCATTCAGGACGCCAAGAGTCGAGTTTTAGGTCCGTGTGAAGAGGTGTTTGCTCTGATTTTATTGAGAACGGATTACCACCATAGACCTGTAATGCATTGAATTAGAATAATTGAAAAATATATATATATATATATACATCATATTTAGTAAAGGAACATATACCCAAAGCCCTGAAGTATAAATAAGTGTCAATTTACTACCACCGGCTTCAACTCGCTTTTTAGACATTTCATTACAAGAAATCAGTATGATATTAACAAGTTTTACAGGTTCATTATATTCTGATGTTGCATCGATTATGACATCACATAATTCTGCTGTAGGCAACCAGGTATGTAAATAATTAACATCGCCTAAAATTGGAAATACTTGCAAAATAAAAAAAAAAACCATTAGTTGGATTAAAAAAGATGATTTATAGTTAAAATTAAAAAAAGACAAAGCATACTTTCATTCCTAGCAAGTATTTTGACCTTTTCACGTTTACGAACTAAACCAAAGACTTCATGACCAGACCTTGCAAATGCTGTAGCGCAAGCATTTCCTATGTATCCTGAAGCTCCTAGTACTAATACCTTTACCATTTTATGAATTCTTTCAGGTTTAAGTATGCAACCATTGTGCTAATGTTTGTGTCGATATTTAAGATTAACATCACACATAATTATTATTTTTGTTCCCTGTTTTTAATGTGCTATCCAGCAGTAAATATAACTGTGAAACAATTTTTAAGATTTGGCAGGCCTTAATCAATATACTGTAAGTCAAAATTCATTTTTAACATCTAATTCTGATCGATATTCAGATTTGTTGTATTTTATGTCGATATGTTAAATAGAAAACCCCAGCGACTATATTGCGAAGATTTAGGTGGTACGGCGTACAGTGCAACTTTGAAAAACAGTACGTAGTGTAACTATCGTCTGGTAGTATTTAGAAGATGGTAACAAGAGAAGTTAGAAAGGACAATCAAAGAGTTACATAAAGGAATAAGGAATAATATTATTAAACAAAGCTCTCGAATACTTTAAATTATGTAATGTTCGAAGCGAAAAAATAAAGTGTTAATCACCGATCATGTGACTTGATGTTGACAAGTGAAAACTTTTTGGAAAAGTTTTAAAGGATTACAACGAGAAGATTATTTCGGTAATTACGTTATAAAAGCCTCTTCGGCACCGATGGCTTACTTTGCATTTAAGTCAAATTTAAACTTTGGGAAACACCTACTAATATATTTTTACGTGACATCTAAAAAGTTGGCATGCTAATTGGCACGCTAAGCGATATCGAATTACTAATTTCAACACATCTGCGCGTCATCACGAACCTTTGAAGGTCCACTAATTTTTACCTCTTTAGCACGCATACCGATACGTACTAATACGTCAGCGTGTTATACAAATTTGGGTTAATAAACGTTAGTAAATATATATTAAAATTGACGGAAAAATCAATACTGTATATTACCGATTGCAACTCCAAATAATGGCAACTCTCCCGATTTTGTAACTGAAAACTTGATGGTTATTGTATTATCGCAAAATAATTCTCCGGGCGTTATTTCGATACACATCATTTCCAGAGAGTTAAGAATTAATTTTGACGAATATATACAATAATTTTATTTTTTAAAAATCTTCGTCAAGATTAAATCTTAACTCCCTAGAAATATGTCTCGAAATAACATCCCCGGGCAGTGTTGTCACGTCTACTATATCCGAGACTTTTTTAGGTCATGACTAATGTCCAAACGTCCACATGTCTAAGAATTTCCACAGCATATTCAAGCTTCAAAAATTAATATATTAATTTGAAAAATATATAATTATAGTGTTGAATATTTTTATTTAGTAAGTTAAAATAGGTTAGCTTAATAAAGTTTCGAATAATTTTAATTTATTTGTTCAGCAATGTCCAAAAAGTGTCCAAACTCATGTCCACAAATGTCTCGTGACAACATTGCCCCAGGGGCGTTATTTCGCGACGATAAGGTATTATGCTTTACCAATAAAAGAAGACTGGAATATAAACACTTTACTTTAGCATGAAAAGTTTCTTTTTTACATTTTAGTTGCTTTTATTCAGTAATTTACGATAAGTATTTGTCTTCTATTTTACGCATGTCATAAAGTTATAGTAATTGTTGAACAATATATAGCTGATTTTTTGGGTGATAAAAAAGCTCATAATTGACGCAAACTCCGTGGAGTTACTAAAAGGAAACATAGACGAACGTGAACTATACGCTTCATTTTGCCACATTCTTGAAAGAATAAGTAGTGAAAGAAAATATGTACAGTATTTAGTATTTTTTAAATAAAATAATAATTTATTAATGGGAATATTATTATAGTGCTATAGTGCCGTAGTGCTACCCTATATGTAAATACAAAATTGGTGTAACATGTAAATCA